TCACTTATTCCAGTATCAAGCTAGGTGTAGGGGTTACAGCCCTGCCTTCAGTAAGATTGTGTTCTGGTGCTAGAGGCTGCAGGCATATGCATTTATAGTTGTAACACCAGAGATATGATAAAGACCATCAATATGTACAGGGGAAGAGCAGAGAGTGTCAAAGAGGGAAATGATTCCAGTTTGGGGACAGGGAAGATTTCATGGAAGAGAGTCCATTTCAGCTTTATCTAAAAGCGCTAACAGAGAAGATGAACAATGAGAACAGCAGGTTCAAAGGCACAAATGTTGCCTTTTGCAGGTAACAGATGGGTAGGGTGCATGTGGGGATGGTGCAGAGAGGTGAAGCTTGAAAGGTGGGATGGTAGGTGGATTGAGGCCGGGCTGGGGAGCATTTTGAATGGACTTCATCCTGATGAATTGGGGAACACATAGAATCATGTTAAGCAGAGAAGAGACACAGTAGGGACTGTTAGAAAAATGCCTTTGGCAGCCAGGAAAGACATGAATTGGAAAGGGACAGCTGGAGGCCTGAGCAGGAGACAGGAGGAGGCAGTAGCGATAGAAAAAAGGAAGGAAAGGATAAATTTGAAGGCGGCTGCTCGGTCAGGAATGACCAAAATGCAGATTGGTGGACAGAGGGCAGCTTTTGTTACTTACTCTTTCTCTATTTATACTCATTTTGTCAAACTGAGGTCAGACCAGAGGTAAATAGCAGCGGTATTTGTATCAATACTTAGGGCTATGAATACAAGAGACACCAATATGGAGTGTAATGTGGAAGTAATTGCATAAACATCTAAATAAGGACAAGAGTTTGAGACATATGAAAGCAGTGAGTATCCATTAAAATTAGAGTCATCCCACATGTCTTAACTCTCATGTGTTGATTTCTGCACATGCTCAAGAAAGGGGGCAAGTCTTCTGCATTTGGAATCAGGGAGCCAGCATTTAGTGTCCCTGCCCTGCCTCTTGACTATCTGTGAGACCTTGTGCAGGCCACTTGACCTTTCTAAGACTGCAGTCCCTTCCAGGGTAAAACAGGATTTGTCTACTGCCCCAGGATCCCTCCCAAAGCTAACATCCTCCAGTCTCTTTTTCATTGCCTGACTGCCCTGGCCGTGGACAGGCCCTGTTAGCTTTTAGAGATTAATTCTAGTTTCTATTGTGACTTCTTGGACCTATGGGTTACATAGACTTGCGTTGCTTGATTTCCAGTCATTTGGAGATTTTTCTCATCTTTCTGTTCTTGCACTTTAGCTCATTTCCATAGTAGTCAGAAAACATAATTTTAAACCTTTGAAATTTGTTGAGATCTACTTGATGACTAAGAATATAATCTATTTTGGTAAATGTGCCATGTGTACTTGAAAAGAATCTCTCTTCTGCAGTTGTTGCATATACTGTTCTATGTATGTCCGTTAAATTGAGTTGATTAGTCATGTTCAAATCTTCTATATCCTTACTGATGTAGTAAGTGTTAGTGAGAGAGGTGTTTTAAAATCTCTGGTGATAACTATAGATTTGTCTGTTCCTCATTTTTATCCTCAGCTTTGTTTTATTTCTTTTAAATCTAAGTTATTTGATGCATAAATGTTTAGGACATTTATCTTTCTGTTGCATTGACCCTTTTATCATTGTGAAATGTCTCTAGTTATTTCTCATGATACGTCTTACTTTAATATCTATTTATCTCATATTGACATAGCAAAAACTTTCTTTTTGTTATTTGCCATGGTATAAATCATTTATTTTCAACCTGTTGAAAAGCGGATTGGTGGGGTTTTTTAGTTGCATCTGGGGTTTGTTTTTTTTTTTTTTTTTTTAGTTGTATCTCTGTTTTTTAAATTCCAATCTGATAGTTTTTGTATTTTAATTAGATTGTTTATGCCACTTACATATAAATACTGATTTAGTTAAGTTTAATTCTCTTGTCATTTGTTTTGCATTTATCTGTTGTTTTTTCCTCCTTCATTCCCTTTTCTTTTACTTTATTTTATTAATTTTTTTAAACATCTTTCATTTTTTTATTCTTTTTTTTTAATTTCTTTTTTTAAAGATTTTATTTATTCATTTGAGACACAGAGATACAGAAAGAGAGAGAGAGAGAGCATGAGCAGGGGGAGAGGAAGAAGCAGGCTCCCTGCTGAGCCAGGAGCCCGACGTGGGGCTCGATGCAAGGACCCCGGGATCATGACCTGAGCTGAAGGCAGACGCTTAACCATCTGAGCCACCCAGGCGCCCCTATTCTTTTTTTTTTTTTAAGTCAATTCTACCCCAACGTGGGGCTTGAGCTCTTTAGTGGTTACTATAGATATTTCCAAATTAATCTATTACAATTTACCTCAGCATTGCCCGAGCAAGCAAGAAACTTAAAGTGTATTCTGTTTTCCCCTTGCCAACATTTTTGTTACACTTGCCATATCTTTTATTTCTACTTAGTGATAAACCCCACAAGGCATTATTATCACTATTGTTTTTAATGGTCAGTAGTCTCTATATTTATCCATATGTTTACATTTTGGAGCTACTGATTCCTTCTTAAAATTGTATGCTTCCATATCAGAGCATTTGCCCTTGAGCCTGAAGAACATCCTGTCTTAGATTCATCATACCCTTTGGTATTACTCATAGGGCAATTCTCTACAAGAAATGAACACTCATTTGTTTTATTTTTCTGAGAGCATCCTTACTGCACACTTCTTTCTAAAGGGCATCCTCCTTGGGTATAGAATTTTTAGTTGACTTTTTTTTTCTTCAGAACTTTTAAAATCTTTTACTTTGTGAATTTTTCTGTGTGTGCATGTAATTTTTCTTAAGTCAACATTCTTTTTTTTTTAATTCCAGTATAGTTAACATACAGTGTTATATTAGTTTCAGGCATACAATAGAGGGATTCGACAGTTCTATACAACTATACATGACTCAGTGCTCATCATGATAATAAGTGTTCTCTTAATCCCCTTCACCTATTTCATCCATCCCCCCACCCACTGCCCCTCTGGTGACCATCAGTTTTCTGTAGAGTCTGTTTTTTGTCTCTTTTTCTCTTTGGTTTCTTAAATTTCACATATGAGTAAAATCATATAGTATTTGTCTTTCTCTGACTTACTTCACTTAGCCTTATACTCTCTAGGTCCATCCACATTGTTCAAATGGCAAGATTTCATTCTTTTTTAAGGCTGAATAATATTCCTGTGTGTGTGTGTGCACACGTCCATGCATCCGTGTGTTTGTGTGTGTGTGTGTGTACCACATCTTCTTTATCCATGCATCTATCAATGAACACTTAGGCTGCTTCCATAATTTGGCTATTGTAAATAATGCTGCTATAAACATAGGGGTACATTTGTCCCTTCAAATTAGTGTTTTTATACTCTTTAGGTAATACCTATTAGTGGATTACTGGATGATATGGTAATTCTATTTTTAATTTTTTGAGGAACCTCCAAACTGTTTTCCACAGTGGCTTTACCAATTTACATTCCCACCAACAGTGCAAGAGGGTTCCTTTTACTCCACGTCCTTGCCAACATTTGTTGTTTCTTGTGTTTTTATTTTAGCCATTCTGACAGGTGTGAGGTGATATCTTATTGTGGTTTTGATTTGCATTTCCCTGATGATGAGTGATGTTGAATGTCTTTTCATGTGTCTGTTGGCCATCTGGATATCTTCTTTGGAGAAATGTATGTTCATGTCTTCTGCCCCTTTTTAATTGGATTATTTGGTTTTTTGGTGTTGGGTTATATAAATTCTTTATATATTTTGGATACTAACCCTTTATCGAATGTGTCATTTGCAAATATCTTCTCCCACTCGGTAGGTTGTCTTTTAGTTTTGTTGATTGTTTCCTTCAATGTGCAGGAGCTTTTCATTTTGATGTATTACTGATAGTTTCTTATTGCTTTTATTTCCCTTGCCTCAGGAGACATATCTAGAAAAATGTTGCTGTGTCCCATGTTGGAGAGCTTATTGCCTGTGCTCTCTTCTAGGATTTTTATGGTTTCAGGTCTCACATTTAGGTCCTTAATCCATTTTTGAGTTAATTTTTGTGTATAGTGTAAGAAAGTGGTCCAATTTCATTCTTTTGCATGTAGCTGTCTAGTTTGCCCAACACCATTTGTTGAAGAGGCTGTGTTATTCTCATTGTATATTCTTGCCTCCTTTGTTGAAGATTAATTGACCATATAAATGTGGGTGTATTTCTGGGCTCTCCATTCTTTTTCATTGATCTATGTGTCAGTTTTTGTGCCAATAACATACTTTTTGATTACCACAGCTTTGTAGTATTTCTTGAAATCTGGGATTGTAGTACCTCCAGTTTTGTTCTTTTTTTCCTTTTTCAAGATTGGTTTGGCTATTTGGGGTCTTTCGTGGTTCCATACAACTTTTAGGATTATTTGCTCCAGTTCTGTGAAAAATGCTGTTGATATTTTGATAGGGATTGCATTAAATCAGTAGATTGCTTTGGGTAGTATGAACATTTTAACAGTATTTGTTCTTCCAGTCCATATGTATGGAATATCTTTCCACTTGCTTGTGTCATCTTGAATTTCTTTCATCAAACATTTTATAGTTTTCAGAGTACAGGTCTTTCACCTCCTTGGTTAAGTTTATTCCCAGGTATTTTATTATTTTTGGTGCAATTGTAAATGGGGTTGTGTTCTTAATTTCTCCTTCTGCTATTTCATTGTTAGTGTACAGAAATGCAATTGATTTCTGTATATTAATTTTGTATTCTGTGACCTTACTGAATTCATTTATCAGTTATAGTAGTTTTTCTGGTGGAGTCTTGAGGGATTTCTATATATATTATCATGTCATCTGCAAATAGTGGAAGTTTTACCTTTTCCTTACCAATTTGGATGCCTTTTATTTATTTCTCTTGTCTGATTGCTATGGTTAGGACTTCCAGGACTATGTTAAATAAAAGGGATGAGAGTGGACATCCTTGTGTTGTTCCTAACCTTAGGGGGAGAGTTCTCAGTTTTTTCCCATTAAGGATGATTAGCTTTGAGTTTTTCCTAGATGGCCTATATTATGTGAGGTTTGTTCCTTCTAAACCTGTTGAGGGTTTTTATCATGAATGGGTATTGTACTTTGTCAGATGCTTTTTTTTTTTTTTTGCATCTATTGAAATGATCATATGGTTTTTATCCTTTCTCACTTAATGTGATTTATCACATTGATTGATTTGTGAATATTGAACCACTCTTGCATCCATGGAATAAATCCCAATGATCATGGTGAATGATTTTTATTAGTGTATTGTTGGGTTCGGTTTGCTAATATTTGTCTGCATTTATGTTTGTCAGAGATATTGGCCTGTAGTTCTTTTTGTTTGTAGTATCTTCATCTGGTTTTTGTATTAGGATAATGTTGGCCTCATAGAATGAATTTGGAAACTTCTCTTCCTCTTCTGTTTTTGGGAATAGTTTGAGAAAAATAGGTATTAATTCTTCTGTAAATATTGTTAGAGACCCTGCCTCTGCCTTGGTCACCGAGTGGCCTTCATCAGTCTCCTCTGCAAATGCTTCATGGCCTAGTGTCCCCATCCCTGCCACCTGTGATCACAGGCCGAGGCCCTCCAGGGGTCACCACCAACCCACAAGCAACCACTTGGCAGCCATCCCCTCCAGTGGCTCACTTGTGGCCACCCACAACTATTACCGGCACCGCCTGGGTTCCACTTCCAGTAACAGCTCTTGCAGAAGTGCAGAGTATCCTGGGGAAGCCATCCCCCACCACCCCAGTCTCCCAAAAGCCCACCTGGGTCACTGGTGGGCAAGCTTCTTTTGGGGGAAGTCCACTCTCCCGTTCATGCCTATAGTGTTGGAGTCCCCAGAATGCTCAGAATCTCCCCAGGCCTCCAGTGACACTGTCACCTGTGACTTGGCTTTGGAAGCCATGAGGAAGCAGCCTGGTGGCCAGCCTAGCAAAGCCAACACCGGCCCTGATCCTGCGTGGCCATCACAACCACCAGGCTTCAGGAGGCACTAGGCTCATCAGAGCCATTCCTCCCCCGCCCCTCCCCTCTATGTAGACTAGGCAGGCTGCAGCAAACAGAAGCACTTGGGTTCTTTTATATCAAAACAGCAAAACACCAAAAAGGAAGTTGAGAAAGCCCCACTCTTACTATCCATGCCATATGCAAACTTTTCCGACGCCCTGTAACCATGTGCCTTATACCAAGTAGAAAATAAACTCTAAGAAGCCAGTAAAAAAGAAAAAAAAAAAAAATTTGGTAGAATTCACCTATGAAGCTCTCTGGTGCTGGACTTTTGTTTGTTACTGATTCAATTTTATTCCTGGTAATCGATCTGTTCAAATTTTCTATTTCTTCTTGATTCGGGAGAGTTATATGTTTCTTCCTGATTAAGAAGTTATATGTTTCTAGGAATTTATCCATTTCTTTTAGTTTGTCCAATTTGTTGTCATATAGGTTTTCATAATATTCTTTTATAACCCTTTGTATTTCTGTGATATTGGTTGTTATTTCTCCTCTTTCATTTCTGATTTTGTTTGAGTCCTCTCTCTTTTTTTAAATAAGTCTGGCTAAAGGTTTATCAATTTTGTTGATCTTTTCAAAGAACCAGCTCCTGGTTTCATTGATCTGTTCTGTTGGGGTTTTTTAAAATTCTATTTCACTTATTTCTACTTTAATCTTTATTATTTCCTTCCTTCTACTGTTTTGGGTTTTGTTTGTTCTTTTTCTAGCTCTTTTAGGGGTAAGGTTAGGTCATTAATGTTTGAGATTTTTCTTGCTTCTTGTGGTAGGCCTGCATTGTTATAAGCATCCCTCTTAGAACCACTTTTGCTGCATCCCAAAGATTTTGGACCATTGTGTTTTCATTTTCATTTGTCTCCTTATGTAATTTTGATGTCCTCTTTGATTTCTTGGTTGAGCCATTCATTGTTTAGTAGCATGTTTTTAACCTCCATCAACATTCATTCTTATTGTTTCCTGGAGGATAATCTGTCCTTTCCCCGCCCCCTACCCCACCATGGGTACTTTTAAGATTTTCTCTTTATCTTTGCTTTTTATCAATTTGTGATGTACCTAGGTTTGGTTCTGTTTGTTGTCTTGCCTGAGGGTGACTGAGCTTCTTGAATCTGTGGGGTAGATATGTTTCCTCAGATTTTGAATATTATTTGCCATTTTCTCCAAATTTGTCTTCTTTTCCATTCTTTCTTTTTCTACCTAATGTGAGTCTAATTGCATGCATGTTAGATCATCTGACTATGGCTCTATATTACTTTCTGTTTTGCTTTTTCTGTTTTTTTTCTCTTTGTGCTTTATTTTGGATATATAATATTGACCTATCTACTGGCTCATTAATCCTGTCTGCTGCATATCTACTCTACTGTTGAATCCATCCTGTGAGTTTTTAATCTCTGATACTGTTTTTGGAAGTTCTGGGAAGTTTTTTGGATTTTTTATTTTTGTGGCTTCTAAGTTCAAATATTCTATTTTTTCATCTGGTTTTTCTATCTCTTTTCTTTTGACTATATTAATCACAGTTATTTTGGAGTATTTGCTAAGTCAAATATCTGGATTAACTCTGCTTTTAATCACTGTTTTATCTCTTGATAATTGGTGCCTTTTACAGTTTTCAGGGGGCGGAGGGCAATATTTAGTAAATATTTATTATATGCCAGACACTGTAAATGCTAGATTTACTCTAGACTATCTTATAGTATTCTATAGAGTCTTTAAATTTGTTCAGTCAGCTAAGTTTTGTTTTTTTTTTTTTTTAAAGATTTTATTTATTTGACGGAGAGAGATACACAGCGAGAGAGAGAACACAAGCAGGGGGAGTGGGAGAGGGAGAAGCAGGCCTCCCGCGGAGCAGGAAGCCCGATGCGGGGCTCGATCCCAGGACGCTGGGATCATGACCTGAGCCGAAGGCAGACGCTTAACGACTGAGCCACCCAGGCGCCACTGTCAGTCAGCTAAGTTACTAGAAGGACTTATTTAGGGAAGATCTACTTTAGGGTCCCCTTACTGCTAAGTATGATTGATAATCTTATGGGTGGCTTTTCTGAGTTGTAAGTCGATGTTTGGTATGTTCACCTATGTCTTCCACTCTCCCATTGCCCCAAATCCCACATCTTTCCAATACTGTTTAATACCTGGCATTTCCACTCAGAGTGTCTCAGCTTCACAGCACATACTTTCTCCCAGACTTTTAGGAGTCTCAGCCACCACTCAGTAGCCCAAGAGTTAGCCAAGGATCCAAGGGCAATTTCCATGTAGATTTCTGGGTTCCCTCCCTCACATTCAACCATCTCTACCACCCTGCTCCCCAAATCTCAGCCACCTTAGCAGCATCGAACTTTTATTTCTGCCTCATCCCTCTATCAAAACAATTGCTCCCTGCTTGAGTTTCTGTGTTGGTTGCTCTCTGAGCCAGGTAACTGTTATTTTATATATTTTGTCAAGTTTTTATTGTTTATGGCAAGAAAGTGAGTCTGATACCATCTACTTCATCATAGAACTGGAAGCTAACATTTTACTATCTTGGTTTCAGTTACATTTTTGAAGACACTCATTTTAAAAAGCACAATTTATGGATAATTTTTATTTTAAGTTTACTTCATGGTAATTTTGTTAATCAGTACTGTTTCCCAACCTTATTATTTAGGTGGAAAATGACTATAAGCAGCATCTTTATTAATGTATGAATGTTTCAGTTGGCCTATTCAGCTTTGGTGCTCCCTATATTAAGAGATAGCTTCTTTGGCATTTGCATAGTTTGAAAATCGTCTAGTGTTGAGAGTCTTCTCTGGCCTGACCCTGTTTTCCTGGTAAGCATAGTCCCAGTAACAGCACATCTTGGCAAAAGTGACCTGTTGCCCTGGGTGACTCCCAAAATGGCAGCCACTAGAGTTTAATTCCTTTGACCTTAAGTTTTATCTCCTGTGAAAATTCAGCCACTTCAGGGGAAGAATGGCAGAGTAGGCTGTATTAGTCATTCACACGAAAACAATTTCTCAGATCCCTTCTTATAGAGCTGATTTATTAGTAGCTGGGGAGAAGCTTTTGTGGTTACTCCTTGGTGTCTGAGGCAATGAACAGGGCCATACAAGGTGAGAAAGTGTACATAAAATAGAAGGGATAAAAAAAGATAAATCTTATCATTGTTTTAATCCTCCCCCCAAAAGCTAGGCTCCTTCAGTTTTTTATCTGTTTCCTCAAGAAATTCTTCATACAATATGATAGGAGCTATAGCAATAAAGCAAAGACTAAAAGGATCCAAATAGGCTGATAATATAGAGTAAAATCTAGGATTAAGGTAGGCTGAGGGATGCCAGAAATTGGTGACATTGGTTTCTTCCTAGGAGGGCTTTTGGATGGCTGGGCATTAAGGATGGGAGAGAGACTACATTATATAATCTTTTTTCCTTCTGAAGCTTGAACCATGTGAATGTGTTACTCAAAAAAAAAGAAAGAAAGAAAAGAAAAGATCAAGCATGTTTATTTGTTATCCTTCCTATAACACCCTGAGTGAAAAGGGATATTTTTTAACCCTCAAAGATAATAAGAATAGGAGAGCAAACAATGGCAACAAAAAATTTGGAATCTGGAAAGATGGTGCTATAGCCTGAATGTTTGTGTCCCACTAAAGTTCATAAATCAATCCCCATTGTGATGGTATTTAGAGGTGTGGGGCCTTTGGGAGGTGACTAGGTCATGGCGGTGGACTGCTCATGAATGGGATTAGTGGCATCTAACTTAAAGACAGAGACTAAACTAAATTTGAAGGAAACAGACTATGTCAAGAGATGAAAATTTTAGATACTCCAAAAAATTCCTCTATTATTTATATTCTCATTGAGACAAAAGATTATATTCATGAAACAAGAACAAAGGGCCATGAAAAGGGATATTCAGATAATGAAAAACAACTCTCAGGGGCGCCTGGGTGGCTCAGACAGTTAAGTCTGCCTTCGGCTCGGGTCATGATCCCAGGGTCCTGGGATTGAGCCCCACATCAGGCTCCCTGCTCAGCAGGGAGTCTGTTTCTCCTTCTGCATACCTCTCCCCCTGCTTGTGCTCTCTCTCTCTGTCAAATAAAAAATAAAAAATCTTTTAAAAAAAAGAACTCTCAGAAATTAAAAATATAGTAAGTTTGAAATTCAACAGAAGGAGTAGACTATGAAATTCAGAATATCTTCCAGAAATTAAAACAAAAGGACAAAGAAATGAAAAATAGGGTATAACAGATAAGCAAATTATGGATCGGGGTAGGAATGCCAACATCCAGATGATAGAAGTTGCAGAAAGAAAGACAGAGAAAACACAAAAATCAGAATGGTTTTCGACTTCTCAGTACCTATGCTAGAAACCAGAAGCCAATGAAACAATGTTTTCAAACCATGAAGGAAAATTATTTCTAATCTACAATTCTGTATCCAGACAAACTGTTAATTGAGCATGAAGCTAGAATAAAGATATTTTCAGGTATGCAGGCTCTCCAAAAATTTACCTTTTATTCACCATTTTTGAGGAAACCACTGAAGGATGAACTCTAGAAAAACAAAAATAAACCAAGAAAGAAGACATGGTAAATGGGAAAAGGTGGATGGCACACAGGAGGGAGACAGAGGAATCCTCGGGATGACCTGATGCAAAAAGGGAAACTACAACAGATTGGATCAGGGCAGAAGTCTCCAGCACAGATTTTGTTAAGGAAATGAAATTGCTTAAATACCTAATGTGTCTGAACATTTATTTAGGAGATTTAGACAGTTCGCAGAAAGTTTGGGATTAAATTATGGATAAGTATTTAAGAACAAAGTAAAACAAAAAAGACAGTTGTTAACTCCAGGGAAAACAACCTTGTAGAAGAGATGAGAAGTAATCCTAGCATATTACACAGGCACCTTGATACAGCAATTAGATACTGATCTAAATGGAATTATAATTATGTTGACAAGATGAAAGGAAGGGAAGGTAAGAGTTTATGATTGTGGGGGTGAGGGGGCTCTCAGTGGAAGATAGCTAAATCCTCATTTACCAAAATGGGAAATAGATACACAATGCTTCAACCTGAGGGGGAAAAAAATCATGAAGTCAAGAAGTAACAATGTAGACATTAAAGATTTAGTACCCAATTCCTACTGGGGGAGGGGTCCCCCACACCACGCAGTTCTCTAACACCAGCTGGGTGTCCTACAGTTCAACTCAATTCTGACACTATCTACCCAGAGATAATATCAGCTTGCATCAGTCCTCAAGACTGCCCTCCACTTCCGATGCCAGTTACAAGTCCATGTTATTACCCAACGGACTATAAGTCAGAGGTTCCCGTGACCCCCTCCTTGGGTTCAATTAAGTTGCTAGTGGCTCACAGAACTCTGGAAATCATCTTACTAGATTACTGAATTATTACAAAGGATATTAAAGGATATGAATCAGTAGCCAGATGAAGAGATAATAGGGTGAGGACCCGAACAAAGGAGCTATGTCCTTGTGGAGTTTGGGGCTTAGCACAGTGGTACATGGGAGTGTTCTAGTTCACCAACCTGGAAGGTCTCTGAACCTCATCCTTTTGAGTTTTTAATGGAGCCTTCATTACATAGGCATAATTGATTACATCTTTGGCTATTGGTGACTGATTCAACCTCCATTGCCTCCTCTCTCCTCTCCAGAAATCAGTGGGTAGGACTACCATCCAGAGCATTCAAAATGCTGGAAAGAAAGCACATGATGTGGTGTGGTAAGATCTGGAATTGACTCCTGGCTATACTCTGTGTGACTTCAGCAAAGTCACCTAACCTCTTTGAGAATAAGATAGGGGCAATAATAATCACAGGGTGATAATAGATATCAGGCAAAATAATGTATATGGGAATGCCTGTTAACTAGAAAATTCCTGTTACAATTCTTGGTTTTAATTAGTTTCTTTTTTTTTTTCTTCTTTATGTATTGACTTTGTACAAGTGTACCTTCTATCCCTGGTATGTTACTATTATTATTGACTCTAGGAAGGGTTGTGTATTAGTTAAGGTATAGGATGAAGTGCTATAACAGGGAGACCCAAAAATATGGCAGTTCAAACAAGACAGAAATCTGTTTCTCTTTCATATAAAAATCTAGACCTGTGCTATCCAATATGGTAGCTACTAGGTACTTGTGGCTATTTACATTTAAATCAAGTATAGTTAAATAAAATGTGAAATTCAGTTCCTCATTTGTACTGGGCACAACTCAAGCACTTAAAAGCCACTTGACTAGAGGCTATTGTATTGAACAACATACATAGAACATTTTCATCATCCCAGAAAGTTTTGTTGGGCAGCCCTGATCTAGAGGAGTGGTCCAGAACTTCAAGGGTAGCTCTGCTCTACAAGGTCATCCACAGACCTGAGTTTCATAAATATTACTACTCTGCCACCCCCTAGGTAAGGCTTTATAATGTACTTTTGGTGCCATCAATCCCTTTGGCACTATGACAAAGCCTACAGACTACTTCACAGAGTAATATTTTTAAATGTCTAAGATAAACCACAGAATTACAATGGAAATTAATTATGTTTAAATATAATTGTCAAAGTATAAAAAAATAAAATGAACTCATGCTATAATATGTGCTTTATTGATACAAGTAATGATCTAGTGGCAATTCTAACGGCTACTATAATTTCAAAGTATTGATAAGTATATGTGATTTTTCAAGATAATCCATAACAAATATAATGTGATATTAAAATATCTATAATTTCAGTTGGTGACAGTCATAGATATGGCAAATACCACTTATGGTTTGTTCCCTACATGATAACTGAAGGAAATGCTAAATTTCAGATAGAGGTTAGTGAAAAGAAAGTTACATAGTTTTCTTCCCATCCAAGTTTACAAGACCAGCATTTCTATTTATGGACCTCTTGACAGGTCTGTGGACTCCAGGGTTAAGAAGCCCTGCTGGGGGATGTCAAAGCTGCCTTGGCAATGCCAAGTCCACCCTCTAGAATGTGGGAAGGGGAGGGTAAGTGATTTCTCTTTTAAAGGACATGACTTGGAAGTTGATCCCATCCCATTGTTCAGCAGGCAGTCACATGACCACTTGTAGTGTAAGGCAGGCTGGGAAATGTAGTCTTCAGGGCAGCCCCTTACGTTGCTATTAAAAAGCTGGAAGGAGTTCTGCCAGTAAAAGGAAGAAGGGAAGAAGTGATATTAGGATAAATTGCAGTCTCTGCTGCCACAGCTTCATTCATCACTATGGAACTGAAACAAAAAAATGTGTTTCTGTTATTCAAAAATGGCTGTTTATTCCCTGACATTTTGTGCACTTTCAAATCTGAGTCAGAAATGCCAGGAAGAGTTTCACTCTTACTAGCTATGGACACGCTCCCCCAGTGTTACCAGTTTCTGAGGTGTATAGTGTCTAAGGGATATAGCAATTTTGAGCTAATGTTCCCCAATTCTGTGCATATGCCTGTAATCACTGGCAACATTGTTATTAGCTCAGAGACAACAGTCTTACCCATGTCGGAGTGTGTTTGTCCCTTGCTCAAAGCGGACTCAGTATGCCATGATCTGTACTGACAGAACCAATAACAAATTAGATATCTAGTCCTGTCACCAGTGACCAGTAGTACTCTATGTGCAAGAGAGCATAAAAAGTAGGAGGCAAGCTTTTTCCAAACAAACAAATCCCTTGAGCAAGTGTCCTTTAAAGTTTAAAATAACAACTCCTTTGGTTGTACATACAGCCTTTAAATTTTCAGAGAGCTTTAAGTACCTTAACTCTTCTCATTTTATTAAGGTACCCAGATCATGGGGGTTTTTCATTTTTTCGTTCTTTTTTTTTTTTAAGTTAAATAAATAACAATTTTGACACAGCACCACATGGCCGACAGCTTTTAGCTTATAAAAGAAGAGTTTGAAAAGGCATACTTACAGGCGAACCCTGTTGGCTTCTGGCAGGAGAGAGACAGAGCTGGTCCAAGCCCAGATAGCACTTAAAGGGCCAGGCAACCCCTCACGCACACCTCTCATCTCCGTCCCAGGGGATGTTTTCTGACGGAACATGAATGTTCAGTGTTATTTTCTTTAAAGTCCCAGATTGTGAGCTCCCAAGGGGCAGACACTGGAGTCTTCCTAGCCCCCACAAAGCCTGGTGCAATTCCCTGTACATCACACGCACTAGACATGTATTTGCTGACAAATCACTTCTATTTTATGAGCATTTATAATGGCCTTTTAAATAAGTGATTTTAAAGTTTGCTGAATGAAGAGTGGTTTTTATTTAGTCTTAGGGTCACCATCATCTTATTTTTTTGGTCTCCCTTCCCCCGTCCATCTCTAGTTTTAAAATGTGATTCACTAGGAAAATATGACTCCATTAATTGAATTAATTTTAGAGCCAACTTTTCAGGAACCTATCTATTTCTGTAAAGTGAGATCCACTTGCAAGTGTACCATTTGGTGCCAGCACTCAAATTTTCCCTGACTCAGTTGCTCCAGCAGTGTTTCAAATATCTTCCCATAAATAAGGCAGCCAGCACCCCATACTTGTGAGGATTATTTACAGGGTCTTGTGATTCAGCCCAGGATCTGATAGTGATCTTGGTCGGGTGATATAAATAGGCTAGGATTTGCCAATGGCTATTTTTATAAGGGAAGCTTTCTAAGTTGATTTCTTTGAACCCAGAATGACTTTCTCCCCCGGCTTCCCTGTTTTCCTCTTCCACTGGGTGGATGCTCTCTTCTGTGGGCCTGTCTTTCCACCTCCCCCAGCCAGCTGGTGTCTGCAGAAATCAGAAGGAAGATACGTGCCTGATACAGAGTTGCCTGAAATCCTATATCTTTACCCCCTTTCAGTATCATCTTTCTTTCATCCGGCCTGAGAATGGCACCCACCCCGCCCATCAGGCCACAGGATCTCTGGGACTAGCCACCTTGTCTGAAATAGATACCCACCGGCTCTCAGGCAGAACAATTCCCTACATTCATACCTGAATGTATATTTTACAATATTACCTTTTGTTTGTCTTTGTAGACTTGCCCCTGCCCCAAGTTGGAAAAAAAAAAAACAAAACCCAAATCCTGAGTTACTGCTGATGAACCAAACTGCCTCGTTTGAGGTAACCTCAACCCCATGTGTGACTAACACCCCCGCCCCAATTGATACAGACACTAGAGTGCCCGCTCAGGCCTTCCCCAGGGATGTCTTGGCCCCAGGTCTCCAGAGCTCTCTTTCCTTCTTGTGGAGCACCACCCCCCCCACACCGCACCACACCCTCACCCCCCCACCCCCACCACACACACACACACACACAGTATGTGTGCAGTGCACAGTCAGGCAGGAGAGGCTTGCCTTGGGGCACTGCCCTTTCTTTGCATCCTTTCCCCAGGTTTTCATGCCGAAAACAGCACATTCTTAAGATGAAGCAAAAATTGATCCTGCTCTTTTTCATCCTGTGTTTTTGACCATGATGTTCTTGGCAGTCAAACTTCCAGGCTTGGGGGTAGAATTGATAGCTTCAAGTGTAAGTTAAATTGGTCGGCAGCATGCCATGTGTAGCCTTAGCCCCCCTGGATAATTTACCAGCATCTGTGGCTTCACCCACCCGGTGGCCTTGAGTGTCTCCTTAACTTTACAACTGGCTTGCCTCTTGGAGCCCTGCCTCCACCCTTCCACCCCCCAGCCAGCTCTGAGGGCTGGAGCTCTTTCTCATTTCTTGGGCCAAGTACTGGAAGTAAAAGAGATTGTTTCAATCTCTGAGTTCCACCACAGGGTCAAGGGCCCCAGAGCCTGGTGCTGCAGTCTGGCCAAAGGGACCACAAAACCAGATCACCAATGATGTTCATCAATGCTCTGAGCTTTGGTTTTGCCTTTGCCTGGGATTAATGTCCCATCTCATAATAACAATGAAGATCAAATAAAATAAGGTATTATACTTGAAATGCTTGATGAAAGGTAGAGAGCATAACAACAGCAAAAATAAGAATAATAGGTATCATTTTATAGGCATCTGCTGTGTCCCAGGTACTTTGTTTGGTGCTTCATGGGAACTACCTCATTTAATCTTGACAACTACTCTTTAAAAGTATTAGTATGCCCATTTTACAGAAAGGAAAGTAAGGTTTAAAAAGATGAAGTTATTTGTTAGAATCACATATCTAGAGAAAGTGGTAGTCAAAATTTGAGTCTGGCCAGGCTACCTTTAAGGCCCATGCTCTCATCTATTAAACAGAATATTTCCCTTCCCATTTCAGAATTGGTAAGAGAAACATAATTAACTTCAAAGATTGGCATTTATAGTGTTTTGTTTGGGCTACCCATTTTACCTTCCATTTTCAGATCAACAAGCCATTTCCTGTGCTCAGGCCTTATTTCCAGAGCAGAAGGAACTCGGTGGTTTTCCCACTGGGAGAGGGAGACATGAAATGTGTCTGCCTGTTCCAGGAAACGCCACCTACTCTTGTCACCCACACTGTACCGCCCCAGTGTACTGACCATACTGTAGCCAACTCAGTGGTGACTCTTATGTAAGCCACTAGCTATCAAGATGACTAAGGCTCAGACAGTGCTCACTGCATTTCTGTTTCTGTGGATGACAGTGGATTGAGTAGGGCGTTTAGACCTGCACTGGCCGGGTGTGAGTTCATCAAGTCCCTGGCATAGCACATGGCTAGCCACAGAAGAATGAGGCATAAAAGGCTTGGTCCCTCTGTGGAGCCACCATCCTGTATCAGAGACAGGACAGGCATTGTGACTAATCGGTGTGCGTGTACAGGAAGAAGTGCATCCATCAAGAGAATTCAGAAAAGGGAAGGCCTCCATGAAAGAGTTTGATCTGGATGCTGGCGTGGATGGATAGAATGGTGAGGAGAGTGAAGAATGTTCGAAATACAAGAAACAGCCAGGGGTATCTGGTCAAGGTTTCAAAATGCTTTGTTCCTGGGGGGATTTGGTATAAATTGGGTTTTCATCTTAATTCAAGAGAAGGCACATGATAAAACTTGCCACTTTTCTGAGTGCTTATGTCTTGAGAAATGGTGTGATTCTGTTCAACATCTTAAATATA